TGGACATGTACCCCACACCCCACCACCACCACCACCGTCTTCAAACCTTTCTCAAGCAAGGCTTCATTTTCCACTCTACCCTTTTAAGAGTTCTAGCATCTGACCCTTGTGCCCTCATTTGTCCCAAGTTCTTGGCTTCCATCGTCATCTCCCACTCCCACACTCCATTTACTGCCCCTGCTCTACACCCCATCCTTATCACCCCAGCCTCCCCATTGCAACTGGCTCACCAGCACCCTGTATGCCTGAAACAGGAACCCAAGTCAGTTACTTCATTCAGAAAGTATTGCCATCAGCAGCCCCTATGCAAGGCAGGGCTAAACCTGCCCCACTCTTCCTTCATTGGCCTCACTCACTCCCAATTACTCAGCAAAGGGGCCCCAGAAGCTAGCTGGCTAATCCGGATATACTAGACAAGGATGGAATGGGGGAGGAAGCCAGGGGAACAGAGGCAGGAAGGCTGGGGGGAGGGTGCAGTGGGCAGGAAGGGTGTCAGGCCCTCTAATTGAAGAAGGCATAACATTAAAACTGAATTTCTAGTGTCCCCCTGATTTTTGGATGTAAAAGGCTCAACATGACTCCCTGCTCAATTAACCAGCTGCCAGGGCAAGAGCCCCCTAGCCAGCTTAATAGCAACATCAGTAAATGAGATTAACTGGGGGTCAGAGAGAGGGAATGTGCAGATAGAAGCAGCAGTGAAGGACTGCAAGTCCACCTGGCTCCTTCCTCTACTATGCCCTTCTAGGCCCTCCCCTCCAAAGTTCACCAGTACAGAAGCAGAACTGTCAAAACTAGAGTCAAGGAAAAAGAGAGTACCAGATGCAGGTCTCCCTGCAGGACTGGAGAAAACAAAACACAGCCAAATCTCACTCCCAAGATCTGAGAAACTTCAAGTACCAACATGGAGGGGGGGGGGCAGGAGTTGCAAGATTAAGTAGAAGGAAGCTTATCAAGGCCAGCCAATGCCTGATGCTAGAGCGTGATTCTGAAAAGTCTGAGGATAATGTATCAAGTTGACTGTAGGTTCAGGGTGCAGCAGGAGAATTAGGGGAGGCAAGTGGTCTTGTCAACAAAAGACTCTCCTACCAGACACAAAGGCAGCTAAAGTCAAACAACACCGTGAGCTGGGCATGATGGCACAAGCCTTTAATACCAAAGTTAGGAGGCAGAAGCAAGCAGATCTCTGTGAGTTTGAGGCCAGCCTGATCTATATAGAAAGTTTCAGACCAGCTAAGGTTACATAGTGAGACCCTGTCTAGATAGATAGATAGATAGACAGACAGATAGATAGAGACTCTACATGTTTTGTTGTAGAATATGATTTTAAGGTGTGCTACATTTGTTTATGCTGTGGAACATTTGTTTTAATGATGCAAAGATGTGTTGCATTCTTTT